TTCTAATATTTCAATAACCGTCCAATCAATTCACAAAATTTCCCAAAATTTTCACACGATGTTGGCAACACTCACCTGCGCAATCAATGAAATTTTCGTACTGATCCTCACAATGTAAACAAACTGGGGCCATATTTGTTATCAGCACGGTGATTTGACCTTGCCAAATTATTAGAAAGATTTAGTCAAATTCCCAGAATTGATCAAACAAAACGTTTATTAATGTTGCACGTTAATATTTATGATCAAAAGAAGCTAATAAATAAGATAATCAAACAAATAATAACAGATACAAACAAAGACAATGTTTTAAACAAATTAATAGGTAATGGCCTATAGTCTTCGCTTCATGATGCTCTAAATGTTTTTGATTGGGTTCAAGTCCGGAGAATTTGCTGAGAACTTCATTTTTCGAGGTCCATTGAAGCCTAACTGTTTCAAATAATCAGTAGTCTTGTGAGCAGCATGTGAGGGAGCATTATCTTGCATAAAAACATTTGCCCTTCTGAAGGCAACTCTTTGCCTTTTCATCCACGGTTCAAGATGCTCCTTCATAAACGCTATGTATGCATCAGCAGTCATTTTGATACCATCTGTTACTCTCCATGGACCCACTAATGTTTTTCTAATAATACACCCCAGATCATTATGCCTCCACCGCCCTGTTGGCGTCTCAAACGCTGATGGCGATCCTGTCCGTTCATTACCCAGCTTTTGCACCATCTATCTGGCCCATCAAGTGTTGCTCGAGTTTCGTCTGTGTGTGACACTATTTAGGGTTGCGTGAAAAAAAAAGGCGAGAATTAATTAAGGTGATAAGAACCTATCACGAAAAGACACTGAGCGATGTTATTTTTTTTAACAAAGAAAAGTGGTAAAGATTTTATTTTCATTAGCGAAGAAAGTAAGATCTCGGATCTGTCGAATTTAATTTGATTTATGTTACGACGGAGCGAATAAACGATAGCCGTCTACCCATGGCAATAATGAAAATTTCAAATTGGTCAAGTGGCTTACAAAACAGAATTTTAAGAGATAATATTAATCAGGTCCCGCTCTGACCGAGAAAAATATCAGCTGGACCACCCACAAGTTAAAAAGAAGGAAAGATTAAACCATTAACTATCTGCGGAGATATCATTTGGGAAAAACATCTGTTTTATGTCAGAGCTGGCCATGATGAAAAACATTTTTTTATCGGAACAGATAATTGGCGACAGAGTGCGGAAAATTATTGACCAACCTCAATGATTATTTGACTAAAATCTCGTTGACGAACTCCAGATGAAATTCGGTTAAGATAGAGATTAGGGACCATCCTACGAGTCGTGTGAGGTTTGCTCGTGGAAGAGAAAGAAAAAGAAACAAAAAAGAAAGAAGATAATTTTATTTTCCTTTGAGCGATAATTGCAAACACCCACGCTGCTGAGCGTCCATCAGCTGAAGGGTGGCGTGAGCGGTAGGCGAAGATAAACTATGAAGAAGGAGGGGAGGCCTGTTGACGCCCCCTGAAGGGATTGGTGTGAGATGCCACTGTGAAAGAGTGGGGGAATCTGTTGACGCCCTTTAAGGGGATTGGTGTGAGATACCAATATGAGAAAGGAAGAATTTGGGAGGACGATTCCCTTTAAGTAGAAAGTAAGGACTTCCAAAAATGGAAAGTAATAAATTTTCCTATTCCGAGAACAAAGAAGATCATTATTGTGGATTTAGAATTATCAAGGAACCTCAAACCCCGACAAGCCCACCCCGGTTTTGGTCGGCGTCCATATAAGCAGAGTCACAGCGAGTGGACGGCAGTAGTGAGTAAAACAGACGCAGTTGGCAGACGCAGACAGAGTTGAGCTGTGAGCTCTGAGACCCACCTCGCAGAAAGCTGACTGAAAGATCCACGCATCACAACCTCAACTTCTAACCAAGAACAATTTATTTTTGAAGAACGACTTAGACTCACACCACCAAAACAAGTTTTACATATATCGCCTGAAGATACACCAAAAACCAGTTTCTTACAAAAACAACTTAAGATGTTAAGACTCGCCTAACAAACATAAAGTGTCACGAATCCATATAAGCGGGTTTGGAGAAAGATGCATCCTGTATTCAGCAACTAGATATAAAATATTGTTATTCTTTGTTAACACATTTGAACTTTTCGAGTTGTTATTTTCTTTTCTTTTACATATACTTGTGCGGTATTACCTTTGTTCGGACACGACTTGCATTGCGGCCCGGCGACTGATTGATTTTGTCTACCTAAGATCAAATCACAACGTGGGTAGGTTAGACTAGAAATCAAAGCAGTTACTTCGGTAACCAAACGTTGGAGGCGAGCTGGGAACGACAAAGCTGATACCGATTCTAACCAGATTCCCATTCAAATCAGCAAAGGGTTAGAACGTCACATTTTGTGCCGCGACTAATAGCAAATGACATTGGTCGTCGCAGGATAGACGGAGTATGAGGCAGGGAGGCCACGGGGTGACGTCCCATGTGAACAAAACTTTAGAGAAGTCAATCTTCATATTGTCCTTGGCCCATTTCAATCGATTTTGAATGTGATTTCTCGTCAATGGAGACTTCGATACAGGTTTGACTGTTGCTGCTATTTCCCTCAGATACTGACACCGAGTACTTTTAGACACAGTAGGATCCCCAATGCAACTGAAAAGCTCTTGACTGGTAAGTCCAGGGTTCTTCGTGGCCTCTCGTTTAAGTCGTGACATGAGACGACGTGAAATAACCTTCGGCTTGCCTTTATCTGCCCTGTTGCGTACTTCTGTAGGGTCGTCACCTCCCTATCATTTTAGAAATCTCTAGGGTAGATTTACCTTTTGAGAGTTCTGAGGTGATAGTTTTCTTTTTAGTATCACTTAAACTGCTTTTATGGTCCATCTTTTCAATAAATTCTTATACTATTCCAATAATTTGGCACGCTCAAATCACCCTGCTGATAACAAATATGGCGCCAGTTTGTTTACATCGTGTAGATCAGTACGAACATTTCAGTGATTGTGCAGGTCAGTATTGCCAACATTGTGTGAACATTTTGTTTGAATTGAATGGACGACTTTTGAAATATTAGAAAAAAAGTTATCTCCATAATAATTTGGCACGCAGTTTTTTCTCCTATCAAACTGTATGCATTTTGTTCCCTTACAGATACACTCTATATGAAAATAATTTACATTGATATATATATATATATATATATATATATATATATATATATATATATATATATACATATATTGATATATAGATAGATACGTATATACATAGATAGAAAGATAAAAATAAAAAGAATTATAGATAGATAGATAGATAGATAGATGCTGCAATTTTTGTGAAATTCATAACGTAAGAACTCTTCTGAACTCGATTTTCTTTTTTGTATTAAAAAAAAAATCATGTCGAATATTAAATCGGTTCAATACAACTACACCATCGTCTACCTTCATAAGGACATTTGTTTTTCAAAGTTTTTTTTTTTTTTTCATCGGCTATTGTCGTTTCTTCTGTAGTCTGCATCTAAAAATCTATTTGGACGCATTCAATAAACTAAAAAAAAAACTAAAAAAATAAGAGGGAAATATAAAGAATCTATCAATTTTCCGTGCAAATCGCGTTTTGTCTCGATACAATTTGCTCCCATCCGATTTCTCATTTTTGAGAGAAATAAAATAGAATATCATTTTGTCCTCAGTGAAAGTAAATCAAAAATAAAATAAAGATTAATTTCATCCTAGTAGGAGTTATTACTGTATCACTCAGAACTTTAACAAGCAGTGTCTCTTTCAAAATATCGTTACCTCTTTGTTTCCTCTCGACTGTACATTGGGAAGGTGGTAGACGCAATTGGCCCATATACCGAAGTCTGTTATCCAACCATAGTTTTTTTTATTATTATTTTGATACTATTTTTATTCTGTCCCATGTTTCTCATCTTTCCACTTAAGGTCTTTGTTCCATATTTTGTTCCCTACTTGTAGAATTCCTTTTCTATTTTTATTTCTTTTTCTCCCTGTTTCTTTAATCTATGTTATTTTCTCTTGTCTCTTGTTTCTCTCTTTCTTTTAACTTTCTTTTTTTTTCTCTCATTCCTATCTTTTGTTTTACATTATCGTTCGTGATTTTTTTTCGTTCATTTCCTGGTGTTTCTCGTCATCTCTTCTCTTATTTTATTCCATTTGACCTTTTTCCTTCATTCCCTGTCAATTTTTCCTCTCTCCACTGTTTGGTTTTCCTTATTTTTTTCTTTTTCTTTGCCTCACACCCTCTTTTCTTACGTGTTAATCTTCTAGTTTTCTTCCTTTCTTACGTGTTAATCTTCTAGTTTTCTTCCTTTCTTACGTGTTAATCTTCTAGTTTTCTTCCTTTCTTACATGTTAATCTTCTAGTTTTCTTCCTTTCTTACATGTTAATCTTCTAGTTTTCTTCCTTTCTTGCGTGTTAATCTTCTAGTTTTCTTCTTTTGTTCGTTTATTCGTATTTTTTATTCTTTCTTACTTTCTCTCTTATTTTTCCTTTTTAAAGTCTTTGACATGTAATCTTTTCGTTTCTTCCCTCTTTCTTTCGATAGACGCACTTTCATTTATATTTTTTTCTTACTGTGTTTTTTTTCCATTTTTTTCTGTTTATAAAATGTTTTCACATTTTTATTTTTTTTTTTCCTTTTCTGTTTCTTTGGTAAGTTTATTTTATATGTTCTCTTTGTTTTTCTTACTTTTTCATTCTTTCCTATTTTTGAGTACTTTCACTTAGGCTTTTCTCTTATATTTTCACTTTTTTCTTTCTTCTTTTCTTAAGATCTTTCGCAAAGATTTATTTGTTTTTTACTCCCTTTCTGTTATATATATATATATATATATATATATATATATATATATATATATATATATATATAATAATCGACTCTCCCGTCGAGTTCGACGTATGAGGTCAGGCCGATAAGTTTCAGGAAACCGACATCCCGACATCGGCACATGAGATTTGATTATAGTGGTGAAGGCCTCGTGCAGGACCATCCACACTTTTTGGAGGGACGAATACAGAAACCTGGTGCACCTGAATACAAGGTTCCCAAACGACCCTCCGCAGGTTTTGAATTCAGAGTTGTCCTTCTCCTAGACCAGTTGCCATCCAAGGCTATAGAACCTAGTCTGTCCTGCTATTTTACCCATAGCTGGAGGAGATGAAGAGGATTCATACCTTTCCCAAGGGTATTAGCACGTAAGTGAATGTAATGGATTCGACTGGAATTCGATCTCGGCTCTGCGATTCCTCAATCAAGCTGCTAATATATATATATATATATATATATATATATATATATATATATATATATATTTATATATATTTTATTTTGCCATTCTATTACGGATTCGCATTTTTTAAATTTCTTTTTCTTTCTTTCTTTCTTGCTTATTTTGGCGCAGGTTACTCTGTATTCATATCAGTTGAAATTTACCGGCTTATGTTAATCATTCGATGTATTTGACGTATTCCGTTCTCAACAACATCCAGCGTGTCTTTGTATTGCTTGCCTTCTTTTTTCTTGCTTTCTTTCTTTTTACATTTTCTCTTTATCAACGTCAATGTTTACTATCTAGCTTTCTCTTCCTTCTTGCTTGCATTGTTTTCTTTTCTGTTTTATATTTTATTTAGTTTTTTTTTCTTTCTTTTTTCATGATTTCTCTTTTAACTTATTCCTTTTACTTCTTCTCTGTTGTGTATTTATATTAATTTATTCTTTCTTTCTTTTGTTTTTCTTTCTGTTTTGCTTTCTCTCTTTCTCTCCTTATTCTTTCTTTCAAGTTTTCTCTTTTACCGTGTTACTTTTAGTTCTTCTCTTTTATATATTTACATTTAGTCTTTCTTTCTTTCTTTTTCTTTCTTTCTTTCTTTTACTTTCTTTCAAGATGTCTCTTTTACCTTGTTACATTTTCTTTTTTCTTTTTTGCATTTATATTTATTTATTCTTTCTTTCTTTACTTATTCTTTCTTTCAAGATTTCTCTTTTACCTTGTTACTTTTAGTTCTTCTCTTTTATATATTTACATTTAGTCTTTCTTTCTTTCTTTTTTTTTCTTTCTTTCTTTCTTTCTTTTACTTTCTTTCAAGATGTCTCTTTTACCTTGTTACATTTTCTTTTTTCTTTTTTGCATTTATATTTATTTATTCTTTCTTTCTTTACTTATTCTTTCTTTCAAGATTTCTCTTTTACCTTGTTACTTTTAACTGTTCTCTTTTATATATTTACATTTAGTCTTTCTTTCGTTCTTCTTTCTTTCTTTCTTTTTCTTTGTTTTAATTTCTTTCTTTCTTTCTTTTAATTTCTTTCTTTGATTTCTCTTTTACCTTGCTATTTTTAATTCTTTTCCTTTATGTATTTAATCTTTCTTTCTTTTTCTTTCTTTCTTTCGTTCTTTCTTTCTTTCTTTCTTTCTTTCTTTCAAGATTTCTCTTTTACCTTGTTACTTTTAATTCTTCTCTTTTATATATTTAAATTTAATCTTTCTTTCGTTCTTCTTTCTTTCTTTCTTTTTCTTTCTTTTTATTTCTTTCTTTGATTTCTCTTTTACCTTGCTATTTTTAATTCTACACTTTTATGTATTTATATTTAATCTTTCTTTTTCTTTCATTCTTTCTTTCTTTCTTTCTTTTTCTATCTTTCAAGATTTCTCTTTTACCTTGCTACTTTTAATTCTTAACTTTCATGTTTTTATATTTAATCTTTCTTTCTTTTTCTTTCTTTCTTTCTTTCTTTCTTTCTTTTTCTTTCGCTCTTTTTCTTTCGCTCTTTTTCTTTCTTTTTATTCTTTCTTTGTTTCGTGATTTCCCTTTTACCTAGTAAGTTTTAACTGTTTCTTTTGTTTATTTACATATATTTATTCTTCCTTACTTTCTTTTTTTCTTTCTTTCTTAATTTCTTTTCTTTCTTTCTTTTCTTTCTTTTCTTTCTTTCTTTCTTTCTTTCTTTCTTTCTTTCATGATTTCCCTTTTGCCTTGTTACTTTTACTCTTTACATTTATTTATGCTTTCTCTCTCTCTCGTTTTTCTTTCTTTTTTTTCACGATTTCTCTTTAACCTTGCTACTTTTACTTCTTTTCTTTTTGTATTTATAATTCTTTATTCTTTCCCTCTTTTTTTTGTTCTTTCTTTCTTTCTTACTTTCTTTTATTTCATGATTTCCCTTTTGTCTTTTTACTTTTTCTTTCGTGCATTTATACTTATTTATTCTTTCTTTCTCTCTCTCTCTCACGTGTTTTTCTTCTTTTTTTCACGACTTCTCTTTAAACTTCTTACTTTTATTTCTTTTCTTTTTTATTTCTATTTATTTATTCTCTCTTTCTCTCTTTCTTTTGTTCTTTCTCTCTTTCTTTTGTTCTTTCTCTCTTTCTTTTGTTCTCTCTCTCTTTCTTTTGTTCTCTCTTTCTTTTGTTCTCTCTTTCTTTCTTTCTCTCTTTCTTTCTTTCTCTCTTTCTTTCTTTCTTTCTCTCTTTCTTTTACTTCTTTCTAGCTTTAGTATATTTATTCTTACATTCTCCTCCTTGCCTTTGTTTTTGTCAGTCAGGTGAGGCATTTTGTATTTCAATCGTGCAACAACCACCTGCTACTTATTTAATTATATTCATACTACCGCTTTTCGCTACATTTGACCCCACAACCTGAACCACCAAAATTACACCTAGGACAGCTAGTAAATATTCTTTCCTGTCTCAGATGGCTTTTCTGCATAGTTTTATTGTATTCCCTTAATTTAGCACCCAGAAGGCGTTAACCCTTAATATCCAGACCCGCAAGTGCATCAAAGATTTTTGCTGAACAAGCGGAACTTATTGGAACAAAAATTTCCAATTATTTTTATCCCTCTCGTCATCTTATTCCCTTGGTTATATAAATTTCTGAGTGTTTACCTGATACACAAACTTAGCCCCTACCGTGGAGCTTTCATGAAATGTGTTGATTAACGAAATACTTATATGCCACATCACACCTTTGTAGTGAGTTCGATCCTCACTAGGTGCCTTGAACTTTCCGCTTTGTGTCAAATCTAAGCTACGCTTAAGAAGATATTATAACATGTTTTAAATGTCAATGGATGCCTTTGAGTTTTCCGTATTGTTGTAGATGTTATTTCCGAGACAGAGCAACTAGTCCCCTGTTTGCAACTGTCACTTTTTGGTAAAAACTCTCGTGAGGGTACTTCTCCGATCACTACAATCTTAATATCTTTTATCTAGGGTTAATCGTCATCTAGTTTACATATATTGGTAGTAGGCACTTCATACTACCTTCTCTGCAACCATTACAACAATCTTATTTAATAACACTCTCCCTATTTTTCGGCTAAATTTAAATAATTACCAGTGGCTGCCTCAAATATTTTAATATTTTGAAATTTTATATATATATATACACACACACACACACACACACACATATATATATATATATATATATATATAATAAATATATATAAATAAATAAATATATAATAAATATATATAAATAAATAAATACTTTCATAAAATAAAACATTATAATTTTTAATTTGAAACTTTTTCTATATATATATATATATATATATATATAAATAATAGAAATTCAAAGATATCCCATATGAATAACGATTTCAGCCCGAAAGAATTAGCCTTGAAATTATTTATAAACTCATCTTGGTGTTGACAAACCTTTCAAAGTGAATTCTTACGGGGTGAAATGGCTATTCAAATTGGGTATCTTTGAATTTATGTTATATGTAATTTATTTATATATGTTCTGTAATAAATAGATGGAGCTCTCTTTGTGGATCAGTTTTAATATTTTGTATTTTAGGATTCACTTGGATTATTTATCTATGGATTTTTACCTATATATATATATATATATATGTGTGTGTGTGTGTGTGTGTGTGTGTGTGTGTGTGTGTGTGTGTGAAAAGTGTATATAAATATAAATAAACCTATATATGTATAATTATTTATATATTGTAAGCGCGGTACTTATTAGAAAGCGCTCAATATCAGAGATAGAGCTAACATATTTGGTTCGATAGATGTGAGTTTGTGACCCTGGGTTTCACGCTTTTGCAATCGTCAGACAAACTGATGATCGCTAAAAGCGTGAAACCCAGGATCTAAAACACATCTAACCAATATATATATATATATATATATATATATATATATATATATATATATATATATATATATATATATATATATTCTGTATAATGAAAATAAACAGTCAGCACTCTTTGTGAGTCAGTTTTAACATTTAATTTGAATATTTAAAATTCTATATTGTATTAATAGTTATCGCTTGGATTATACCAACAGATTACTACACCTCTCTCTCTCTCTCTCTCTCTCTCTCTCTCTATATATATATATATATATATATATATATATATATATATGTGTGTGTGTGTGTGTGTTTATATATATATGACAAACGGGACAATTTTTTTGCGTGAGGTGTTTCGGCCTTTAGGACATCATCTGTCTGAATTAGTATTTATGTTATTGCGACTACACATGAACCCGAAGGAAAATAGTCGCTGAGAAATTAAATTTTCCTCTTTGTCATATATTTTTCCCCTTAAATTGTTCTTGATTATATAAGAATTATATATCTTTTTACAAGCACTCACACACGCACACTCTTACGAACACAAGCAGACACATAAACACACACACATATATATGTGAATAAAGACAGCAGATATTTTCTTTTTACATATATTTTTTTTATTTATACCATCACACACACATTTGTCTGTGTGCTTCAGTGCGCGTCTGTGTACGTCTGTGCATGTGTATGAGTATAAAGCTATATAATATTAATCCTTTCCTATCCCATAGTATCTTTTAGTGAAATTTCCTTACTAGCTGAATTGTCTTTAGAAATATTTTCTTTCCACTGAAGAAGCAGTACACATTAGTGTATCCTAATTTTTTTTTTTAAATCAGAACATAAAATCGATCAGTGTTTTGTTTTTTTTTTGCTAGAGAATATAATTTTCCTAGGAAAATATCTGTTTGTTATTCAACAAACAATTCAATTAAAAAAAAAAAAAAAATTCGAAATCTCAGCGGAAGAAATGATATATGTGTATTAATATGCAGATTAACTAGTTAACATATCCTGTCTATATGGGATGTTGAGGAGTAGGAGGAGAAGGAGGAGGACAACGCAAGCGCATTGAGTCGTAACGCGTAGGATTGGAGACTTTACAACGATTATTAACATGGAAGGACTTTCAATTCTTATGAATTGAAGAAAATGTTTGATTCAATCTGTAATAAAATGTTTATTAAATAAGGCTGAATTTAAAATATTTGATTTATCAATTATTAATATTTAATTGAACTACATCTGTATCATGGACAGAGAAAAGCAAACAAAAGAGACCGTATTAAAATACATATCGGACTTGCTGAGGCAGATTCAATCAAAAACCTGACATCTTCAATTGGTATGAAAATGGAAGACATTTTAGTGGTATATATATATATATATATATATATATATATATATATATATATATATATATTACGATAAACGTGCAATCAATTTACAAATTCATGAATTATTCGCACAAAAACAAAAGCAAAAGGTTAATGATTTAATTGGCGAGAAATCCATCATCGCAAACAATTCAAATAATATACAAAACCTCCGAATCCGTTATGAATGAATTGATCCTTGTTTCCATAAATTTCTGCCGTATTAGTTCTTTTTTTTACTACAAGCTTTCGTCTGTTCCTACAGACATCTTCAGGTATAGAATAGATGTTGTTCTTGTTTTTCTCTTAGTAATAAGAGGACAACGAAAATATATGTATTGTTGTATCCGAAAATGCTATTGAAAATGAGTTATTGTTTTTGGAGCGTGCCAGTAGCAACGCTGAGTTTGATTTTAAATTTTTAAAGGTTGTGCGTTCATATAAATATGGTGTTGAACGAATTTTTTACTGTTAAATTTTCTGTCAAAGTGGCATGAACTATATTGTTCAATAATTACAGTAATGTCGCACTTATTATCCAAAAGTCGCACTTGGATCAGTTATTTAAATTACGATAAACGTAATATATATATAATATATAATATATATAATTGACTCTCCCGTCGAGATTCGACGTATGAGGGTCAAGCAGATGACTTTCCAGAAAACCGACAGCCCGACACCGGCACATGAGATTTTATTATAGTGGTGAAGGCTTCGTGCAGGACCATCCACACTTTTTGAAGGGACGAATACAGAGACCTGGTGCACCGAATGCCACAAGGTTCCCAAACGACCCTCCGCAGGTTTTGAATTCAGAGTTGTCCTTCTCCTAGACCACTTGACATCCAAGGCTATAGAACCCAGTCTGTCGTGTTATTTTACCCATAGCTGGAGGGAGAGGAAGAGGATTCATACCTTTCCCAAGGGTATTAGCACGCATATATATATATATATATATATATATATATATATATATATATATATATGCTAAATGGCACACTTCACGCACGACCAGCGAACTTTTGATAAAGTGAAGGAGACTTGTTTAGAATTTTTTGTGTTTTTTTTATTCAAAGCCAACGAACTGAAATCTGGGCATCTAAAATGACGGAAATTATTTTGAAGAATAAATGTGGGTATTCCTGCATGAAATTATTGTTTTCTTTACACTTTCTAAGTGAATCTGAACTTTCTGGCTAAATTATATATATATATATATATATATATATATATATATATATATTCAGGTTAGATAAGAATGAATAATCTCCTAGTAGTGTTAGTAACAACTTGCACGGATGTATGTGTATTTGCTTGTCTTTTTTACATTTTGTATTGATTGGTTATTGTTATTAACACCTTATATAATGAATCTTTATTCAACGTTGCATAATTATTTACCAAGTAAGTCTATACGTTTAAATTATTTACTGGTTTCTTCGAGAAGCTATTTAATTATCAACTTCATATTTTATGTCGGAAACTCATAAAGCATATAATTTGTTCAGCATTTTGTTAGATTACCATTTCATTGTTTATTAGGAAATGATATTGTCTAATGTACCGTATGTATCCATTTGCTTCCGCTCCTGTTTAACGCTGGTTTCTATTGATTTAAAAAATATATGTAAAATATTTTTTAAAATTTTTGCTTCTTCCTTTCATTTGAATTTAACGTAGGTCATATTCAATTGGTTGATCTGAGTAAAGACCAAAAAACTTATAAACCCTCACCTTTTTAATTTTTTTATTTTTTGTAAAAATAGGCTATAATTTGTTTTTAAATCTAAATAATTGTTTCCTCGTCTGTAATATATATCGCCTGATGAGATGAGTCGATACGAATCGAAACACGACTACAATTGTGTAGCGATTTTCACATGTTTTTTCGATGTAATATCCTAAAATAATATATATATATATATATATATATATATATATATATATATATATATATATGTTTAAAGATATTTTTGTAGGTACAAAATTTAATGATCGAAATAAA